ATTATTTTATGTTTAAATTACTATTCATTGAGAAAAGTCATTTTTCACATATACTGTTGATTTATTTGTGTAATATACGTGTTTATCATTTTCCGCAAAAGTGCGGTCAACCAGATATACCAAATACTATGAATGTCAGTATAAATAATAGTTACGTTGATTACCAATGCAAAGATAGTCAGTATATATTAGATGGCAATTCGCAAGTTGTGTGCAATACATATGGAAAATGGTTGGATAACTTTCCCCAATGTATACCCAAATCTTATTGTAAACTATTAACAAAAGATAGTTATGACGAGTCTGTTGATGTAATTTATGAATCGGTTATAACGGGAATAAATGGACAGAAATATATTCCCGAAGGAATTTTAGTTAATTTTTCGTGCAATACATTACAAAACAGATCTCTTTATAGTAATGAAACCCAATATGTATTGCAAGGACTTGACAGAGTTGAGTGCCGGTCGGGTCAGTGGACGGGTCTATCAAATCATACAAAACCCAATTGTATGATTGATTTTGTCAACAGAGATGACATCAATACGCCATCAGTTTCCAGATTTATTATTTACATATTATCAACAATTCTATTATTTTCTGTTTTAATTATAATGTATTTGATTTGTTATACAATAAGAGCCCAAAACAATAAGCGCCGAAATTTAGCAAAAAATAAAAGAAAATTCAAAGAAAACAATGTTTACGATATGTATAACAAAGCATTCGACGATAAAGACTATTACAATAACAATGAAGACACCGTTAACTTTGTCACTAACATCAGACACGATTCTAACGAGACTACCGGTGCTTACGATGAACTATACGATTATGCTTATCCACAGATTTACTTTAATAGTGATGACAATATTGATAGAGTTAATGTTAATTCAGATTATTTACACATAACTTAATCATATTATTATGATATGAAAACTACTTTATAATTTTTTATTCAATAAAATTGTATAATACAAAAAAATAGTATTTAGTAATTATTTAAATTAAATGTAAATAAATAATTTGAAAAATTAAAAAAATACTACAGGTTTAAAAAACTATGATTATAATTAGTGTAATAATTTTGTTAGCAAAACTCGTATCATTATCATATTAGTAACATGTAATTGTTTTATTTAATTATTAATTTATTAAATTAGCTGTGTAATTAAATAATTAAAAAAATATTATATAGTTTACAATTAATAAAATAATATTTTATTACTATTTTTTAATATAAAAATATTGTAAAATTAATAATGAATAAAATTTACTATTTATTAATAATTAATTTTTATCCGTTAATACTAACACATCCTGACATTATGTTTTAAGGCTATCGTATAAATATTTTTTTTAAACATTAAGTTTTCATTAATATATTTATTATAACATCCTTTAAACACATAAATAAATAATTTATTAATTATAATGATTAATAGAAGTATATTAAAATATATTTATAATTATAAAAAATATTTAATTATATTTATATTATTAAAAATAACAGAATGTATATATTATACTGAATCAGTTTATGATTATAATAATAGTTATTGTGGACAGTTTGCATTACCTCCTGGTTTATTGTATAGTTTGTCTTATAATAAAAATAATGATAGTTTTATTTTTGGTGATTATAATAATAATAGTGATATTAGTTTATATTCACATGAGTTATACAAAAACAATACAATAGTTTCGTACAAATGCAGTGATGATCTCAATGTATTAGTCGGTAATTCTAAGCGGGAATGTATTGACGGATATTGGACGGGTAGTGTCCCGCGTTGTGGTAATTATATTAAATAATTAAAATTTTATTAGCAGTATTTTTTTTTATTTAAAAATAAAATATATTTCACTCTAGCTATCAATTACCTTAATTCAACACATTTGACAACAATAAAGAAAACGCTTCTTGATTACACATTTCCCTCTTTTGAGTATAAGCTAAATGATGTGCACAACTCTGAGGGCGCCTATACCCCACCCGGTCGGGCACCGGTCAACTGTCACGGTTGGCTTCACTCCACAAATAATAAAGGGATTTTTAAATTTGAATTATCATCGATTGTGGAAATACATTACTTGCGGATCCAATTATATGCCAATAATCTTAAGGAACATTTTATTAATAGAGATGTCATAATTAAAACATCTCTTAATGAAAACTTTAATGAGGAATGTATGCTAACTAATGTCCATTTCCTCGACAATGACAATGAGGACAGTCCCGATCATTTGACAGCAGATTTTGAATGCATCAATAATCACTATATTTCTAATTATTTTATGTTTAAATTACTATTCATTGAGAAAAGTCATTTTTCACATATACTGTTGATTTATTTGTGTAATATACGTGTTTATCATTTTCCGCAAAAGTGCGGTCAACCAGATATACCAAATACTATGAATGTCAGTATAAATAATAGTTACGTTGATTACCAATGCAAAGATAGTCAGTATATATTAGATGGCAATTCGCAAGTTGTGTGCAATACATATGGAAAATGGTTGGATAACTTTCCCCAATGTATACTCAAATCTTATTGTAAACTATTAACAAAAGATAGTTATGACGAGTCTGTTGATGTAATTTATGAATCGGTTATAACGGGAATAACGGGACAGAAATATATTCCCGAAGGAATTTTTGTTAATCTTTCGTGCAATACATTACAAAACAGATCTCTTTATAGTAATGAAACCCAATATGTATTGCAAGGACTTGACAGAGTTGAGTGCCGGTCGGGTCAGTGGACGGGTCTATCAAATCATACAAAACCCAAATGTATGATTGATTTTATCAACAAAGATGACATCAATACGCCATCAGTTTCCAGATTTATTATTTACATATTATCAACAATTCTATTATTTTCTGTTTTAATTATAATGTTTTTGATTTGTTATACAATAAGAGCCCAAAACAATAAGCGCCGAAATTTCGCAAAAAATAAAAGCCATTTAAAAGAAAAAAGTGTTTCCAATATTTACGACAAAGTCTATTACGACATCAATGAAGACACTGATAATTATTACGAAAACATCAGAGAACAGTCTAAAGATGATAATGAGACTACCGGTGCTTATGATGAACTAACCGCTTATGATTATCCAGGCATTGACTATAAAGATGATGACAATACCGGTACAGTTAATGTTAATTCAGATTATTTATACATAACTGACTCGTATTATACTGTTATGAAAACTGATTTATAATTATTTATTTATTAATTTCAGTAATAATTTCAATTAAATGTGTAAATAAATAATTTAAAGAATAAAAACAAACTTTATATATATATCATTAAAATTAGTCTAATAATTAAAAATGTTGATATTCTTTGCAAAACTCTTTGTTTTTATTCTGATAATTGAACGGTGGCTTAAAGTAATTTATTTATTAAAAAAAATTAGATAATTATAAAAAAAACAAATGTTTTGTATTATTACTACTCACACAATCGCATCGACAATAGGGACCGCCGTCTTCGGGATGATGTTTGCATAGATAGACACAATAGTCGGGTCGACCACCTTTGATACGATGATTGATACGTCTATCCTCTTTGACGACTGAATCAATTGATGTGGGAAAGCCATTGAGTGTATCAAACATATAATTTATTATAACAAATACTAATATTAAAATAAATAATGTTTTCATCTTTATTTAATCTGTTATAATATTAATTTTTAATTTAATTTTTAAAAACTTAAATTAATTATAACTTCTATTTTTTTATTATAAAAATTGTTTATCGATTGCTCTATTTTTTATTGTTTATTGACTTATATATATAGTATTATTATATGTTAATCAATTAATGTGATCTAAAAACAATAGTAAAACATTTAGATTATCAGTAAATTTGTATTATTCATTGTTTTGTTAATTATACCTACAAATAGATCATTAAGGAGGTGACCAACTCTAATGGTGATAACTCTTCAATTGTTATTTTTTATTTTGTAATTATCCAAACAATATTTAATAGTAAATTTGAAACATAATTTATGGTGACTTGTGATTTGAGTAAAATTAATATTTAATTTTTTAAAAATAAATTTATATTTAGTAATTTTAAAATTTAATGTTAATATATATATATAAATTTATAATTTGGCTCATTTATGTATAACAGGATATAAAAATTGTTATCTAATTACTTTTAATTTCAGTTTAGGGATTAAGATATTAATTGCTATATAATATAATTTTATAGATAGTATTGTAATATTATATCCTACTAAAATTTCTAGTAGCTAATTAATAAAATATTTTATTAAATAGCTAATTTATAAATAAAATTTTTAAAATATTAACTTTTTCATACTCTATATATAGAGTCTATATATATACTGTATATATATATTTCAATTTATAGAAAAGTTTTAAAATATAATTACTTTACATTTACAATTATTTATGCATTAAAATAAATACTATATTACATTATTTAATTTATTAGAGATATCAAACAGTATTATAGACATAGTTATACCATATTATTGATAAACTAAGTAAGATAAGTGTCACTTAAATTTTTATCTATACCTATATTTATAAAAAAAATTTAATACTCTATTATTGGTAATTTCCCTTAAAATTAAAAAATACCTGAATATTTTAAGATTAATAACAAGTTTCAATGACTTAATGTTTAGTTGCATCAAATTGCTTAAATCTATGTATGATAACCTTGATTACATTTCTTTAAATTTAATAATATTTATTTTTGTGAACAACGTTATTGTAAAAATATTGTACAGCAATATATCATACATATAGCAAAATAATTTAGTTAAATATTACAGCAATTGTTTTATCAAGCTTAGTAAAACATAATAATTTTATTGTATAAATTTATATATATAATTAATAAATTATTAATTATAAAACACTAGTAAATTTATGTATAAAAACAACTAAAACATGTTTTTGATTATGAAATATGTATATATTTTACTATTAATATATTTAAATACATGTGTAGAGTGTTTAGGAAATATTAATAAAACTTGTAAGTAATATGAAATGAATAATGTTATTTAAAAATTTTATGTAAAATTATACCCGTCCAGCCGTACCGACAATCAAGCTTAATGATGGTTATAAGATACCGGTGCTCGGATTTGGCACCTGGCAAGCTGAGGGACAGAAATTGGTCGACGCCATAAAGGACGGCTTACGACAGGGTTGGAACCATATCGACACGTCCTGGTTCTTCCATAATGAACGAGAGGTAGGACAGGCTATGCAGGAGGTGTTTGCCGAAAAAAACCTGACACGAAAAGACATATACCTTGTGTACAAAGTTTGGCCAAAAAACTCGAACTACAGGCGCACACAAAATGCCATCCGAAATGCTTTGCTGGCTCTTAACACCACATACTTGGACTTAGTTAGCATAAAATGGCCGCTAAAAGACAATTCAGACATCTATCGGGCACTTGAGTGGGCCCGCGAACAAGGAATGGCCCGTTCGATAGGTGTGTCCAACTTTAAACCGGCAGAAATTGAGACACTTATGACTAAAGCAGTGATTAAGCCCAGCGTTAATCACATTCGCATACATCCCGGTTTCAATCAGGACGAAACAGTAGACTATTGTCAAAAACAAGGTATAGTTGTTGCCGGTTGGTCACCGCTGGGCACCGGATCAATGATTAAAGATCCCACACTTGTAGCTATGGGTCAGCGCTATAATAAAAGTGCGGCACAAGTAATGATTAGATGGCAACTGCAGAGAGGACTAGTGGTCGTACCTAAAAGTACTAAACTTAAGCGTATTATTGAAAATTTTTCTGTTTTTGACTTCAAACTAAATGATAAGGATATGGAGATTATACACTCAATGCCGCAAATAAATCTCATTGATTTTTGGGGTTAATAATTGTATTACACTTTATTTACATTGAATTTTATATTTTAGCATTACTTTGATTTTTAATTTTTTTATTGATTTAATCAGTTAGTTATTGATGTTTATGTTTATTGGACTAAAGGGTTACTATTTTATACAATAAATTGTAATGAATTTATTTCTAACTCATGTTCACTAATTTATATCAGTTTTTGAGTAAATAACTTAAAATACTATAATTTTGTGATTTTATAATTTTGATAATACTGTAAATTAATTTTTATAATTTTCAACAGTTTAATTTTAAGTGCAATTAATAACTGTATCAATGTATTATTTTTTATGTTGTTTCAGCATCAATATATGATATAAACTAATTTTTATAAAAAAATTATTTAAAAAAAACATTTTTAATTTATTTATTTCAAAATGAAATAATTTTTGTAAAAATTTTGCTTATTTTATTTCAATTCAGTAAATCTTATGCATATATAATATTACATTTTATTATTTTTTTCAAAAAAATATTACATTTCTTAAAATGTCTTTAATAATTAAAAGTCATTTAGACATTAATTTATTTCAATGTCAAAATTAATAAGTTATAAAGTAAATTTAAATTGTAGATTAATCAATATTTTCATTGTAATAACAATTTCATTATAAATCAGTTAATTACTATTAACTAATAGATTAAGAAACGTTTATTAGCATAATATAAAAATTGTTATATCATTGCGCCAACAAAACTAAAGTATAAAAAAAATTGGTAAACAGTTAAGCATATTATCTTTAATTGCAAAAAAACAATTGTAAAAATGTTGCGATTTTTTTCACTGATTGTTCTCATCGTAGTTGTTGTCGGTATGTAATATTGTATGGAAATAATTATAATAATAATAATAATTGAAATCATTTTCTATAACAATATATATATATATATTATATAATTTAAACAAATTTATTTTTTTATCTATTATGGTTGATAAGCCTCTATGGTATTAGTAGACTGTAGTGGTGGATGTGGAGATGGTATGGTATTTTGTGCACCAGTTTGTTGTCCTATAGGCAGGTGTGGACTTTCAGGACCATTTGGTCCGGGAGTAAAGGGAAAGTGCGTTTAATTAATTAAAAAATTAGTTATAACTTATACAATATATGCGTTTGTTATATTAGTTATTTATTAATAATGCAACAAAAAGAAAATTTAATAAATTGATTATAACTAATAAAACCTATTAAAAATAAACATATATAATATAAATCTGTTTTTTTATTTTAAAAATATTATTAAATTTGTTTTTACAATTATTTAAATTTTAGTCATTTATTGAAAATACATATAAAAGTTTATAGTACAATATATACAGTATATTACAGTAATTAATTATTAAATATACACTAAAATATAAACTAATATAATAACTAATATAAACTAAAATATTCTTTTAAAAACAGATATTCTGTATGTATTTGTATATTATATAAAAATATTTTATTTAAAATATTAGATTTCTTTAGTCTATTTTAGTATTGCAAAAATAAAACAATTAAGTAAAATATAATACTTAAATTTACTATTTATAAAAAATATTAAGTGAGGTGTGGATAGTAATCATTTAAAACATTAAAAATAAAATAAATTTTACTATTAGTATAAAAAGCTAAGTAATGGTACAATAAATTGTGGGTTTTGTGTTTAAGTAGTTGTGAGTAAAAGTAATAAATATTTAAATTATAATATAATTTATAAATTTACATTCAATAACCACTTAATTAAATCAACTTTATATAAAAAAATCAATAGATATAATATAATATATTTATTTAAACTTAAAACTACTGTAATAATTAAATTTATTTTTTTACTTTATAATAATATCTTGTTTTAAGTAAAAATAGGGTTGCCAACTGATCACATTGTCAATAGATGACAATTGTTTATAACTTATTATTAGCTTAGTTATTATAACTAACCTAACTTATTATTAACCTAATCAGGGTAATATATAAGCTTTTAAATTAAATATTATCTATATTTTTATAATTAATTATATTTAAAGAAAAATTTATAACTATACATTTATAGTAAATAAACAATATATATTCAAATAAATCATTATATTTTATTAGTTTTGTAAGATATTGTTAGATTTGCAGTTTTACAATTATTGTAATTAAAAATAAATTTAATTGTAAATTTTGCTTTAATATTTTTTCATTAATAATCAAATTAGTAGTTTGATAAATTTTTAGTTGGCAATTTTAATTCAAATTGTTATGACAAATGATAATATAAATATACACAAATAGAAAAATAATAAAAAAATATATACAAACAACTATTAAAATTTTATAATACTTTTTCAGTACTAAACATAGTGTAATATAATTTATTGCATTTTAAAATGCAGTATTCATTTCTATTTTAATATTATATAATACCCGCTCCTTATTTAATAACATAGTGTGTGTACTATTAGCTAAGCTATCCCACACATACATGTATTGTAATATATGGTGCTATTATCAGACAGAAAAAATTTGATCCATTTTTGGCAATATAACTAACATATCATATATACAGTAATAATACATGATATTATAACTCACCTTAAAATTTTTGATATAAAAATAAACTCATTATTATTGTTACGGTTATAATTGCCGTATAATTTGCTGTATATAAGTTGCTTATACGGTATACCATAATTTATTTACAGGTATTATTAATGTACTGATAATTAGATTTTGTAAATATGTATGAAAACATAACACATCATATTGTTTGTAAATATGATATTTTTAGATTTAAATCGCTATTAAAGGATTTTAAATTTATAATATTTATCACAAAAATATAATTTAAAATTATTTATATAAATATGATTTATATAAAAAAGTTATTTTTATTATATAAATTATTGTCTAATACTACATTATCTCAATGCTATAATTTCCGTAAATAAATAATAATATTTATATATATATATATATACAGTATATTAATAATACAACAAATAATATTAATTAAATCATTCAAAAAAATATTTTTTTAGTACATATAAAATTGAAATGAAATAAATTTTATTAATGAAAAAACTATAAATATACAGTATTTATATATAAAATAAATTAATTTTTAAAATTTTATCTGTAATTCAATTAATCATTAAAATCATTAAACTTTTCTTTTAAAATTTTAATTATAAAGATTAATTTAAAACTTATTTTTAATATAATTATTATATTTATATTAATATATTTTAAAAATATATTAAATATAAATATACAGTTATATTATTATGATTTTTACTTTTTAAGTACATGAATTTTAATTTATATAAATGTCTCATTTGGATTGACACATAAAATTGTGGGCAAACACACCAAATAACACAGTGTGTCCAAAATGTATTAGTGATAAAACATTTTTTGAGAGCACAGGTATCTATAATATAACATTTGTGTGTGAACTCCATTGTGACTAAATGTCATGGTATTATCGATTGATTTTTTTTTATTATACCGTATTATTCAAAATAATTATTATGTATTTAATGAGTGATTTTTTTTATAAATAAAATAATTTTTTATGCACTTTTTAAATAAATAATATATTGATTATTTTCCAAATATGGATCAAATATTTCGATTTTTATATCATAAATATTATGTAAAAAATCATTAAATGTTTTAGTTTAAACAATTAAATATTTGATATGAAATTAATTTGTTTTTGATTAGAGATTAGATTTGTTAGCTAACTATAGTATAATTTTTATCTACTTATAAAATATAATTTTCCATATTTTTAATGCATAAAATAATTACCAATTAACCATGTTAAATCTAAATGCAATTTTATTATAATTTCTTTATTAATACAATTTATACAAATATTATATTTACTAATATAGTTATTAGTTTATAGTTATGATAATTTTATAAAGCACTTAAAAAATTTAATATTTTTAAACTAAATCTTTTCAATTATGACAAATATTTCTAAAATTCTGATATTTAATAAAACTAAATGAGATTAATATATCAAATTAAACTATAAATTATATGGCATGTAATATATGGTATATTTTCAAATAATAAGAGGTTTGTTAAGAGGGGAGGGGAGGGGATGGGCGATCATCTATGAAAATAAAGTACAATCATTCACTTGACTTAATAAACTAATTATACAACCATTTATATAACGCTTAATCGCTTTTGAATATATTTTTATTATTGTTATGTATGTCTCTGAATGTGTCACTTATAATACTTGTTTAACAACACAACAATAACACATATAAAAAAATAATTGCAATAATTATTTCTTATATATCATATATATATTTTTTGTTGCAAAAAATGTTTGTTTTGTTGAAGACATTACTCGAAAATATCTGAGATAACAGTGCTTTCGAAAAAAAATTCAAAAAAAAGTGACACTTCATTGACTATAAGCACCGTTTGATAAACAGGTTCTCACCGTTTCAGTGACTGTATAATACAGGCGAAAGCACTGTTGGTATTGGAAATTAATATTACTTGAATATAGTGGGTACAGGTATACAGTATATGATACTATCTTATATATATATATTATATATAAATTTATATATATATATAAACTATATCTACACATATATGACTGACTGCCTAAGCAATAAATACCTGTAAACGGCAACCGTATAGTTAATCTCAATTTCATTTGATCCCATTTTTTAAGCGTCACATATGTGTGCGTATTAGCGCACAGTTAGCTTCTGAAGCGCACAGTTAGTTGTGGTGGTTGTCGGCAATCACAAGCCGGGAGGACTGTTTGTATTTGTAGTAAAAAGTTTTGATACAAAAAACATTTTTTGATATCAATATTAAGTTATGTTATTTCATGGAAAAAGGCGTCTAATTATTTTGATTTAATTTATTTCGTTTATAAAATGTGTTAATTAAAAAATGACTTGAATGGGCAAATGTTACGTTTTATTATACATTATTAATAATAATAATTAATTAACTAATAATAATAATTTATCGGCAAATATTAGCTTTAATAAACGTGTTGTTAAATCAATGTTATTTATCTAAATTTAATTAATAAATAACTTTTATTTTTGTTATTGTTTATGTTTGTGT